CTTTAAGAGATGAAAAAAAAAATCACAAACTTTATATGGAAAGGAAAGTGACCCAGGTCACTTTTGAAGTGCTGCTGAAGAAAAAGAACAAACTTGGAAGTCTCGTACTAACTGATTTCAAAATTTATTACATGGCTATGGTGGTCAAAACAGCCTGGTACAGATACAATGAAAGATACATAGATTAATGGAACACAATTGAGAATCAATAAAGATACCCATCTACACATAACCAACTGATTTTTGACAAAGGGCCAATGTACATTGAGTGGGGAGGACACAGTCTCTTCAACAGATGGTACAGGCAGAACTGGAAATCGATAAGCAAAAGATTGAAACAAGACCTTTACCTCACCCCCTATACAAAAACCAACTCAGCATGGATTAAAGACCTAAATATGAATCCCAGAATTATAAAGGTCATCAATGAAAAAATAGGGACAAACGTGAGGGCTCTAATACAGGGCATACACAGACTACCAAACATTGTGAAAATTACACAAACAGTAGAAGATAAAATAGATGATTGGAACATACTAAAATTTAGAAACTTAGGTACATCAAAAGATTTCACCAAAAGGGTAAAAAGGAAGCCCACAGAATGGGTAAAGCATTTTGCAATGACATATCAGACAAGGGGCTAATTTCTAAAATCTATAGGAAACAACAACACCTCTACAAGAAAAAGACAAATAACCCAATTTAAAAAATTGGCACAGGACATGAACAGACACTTCACCGAAGAAGACATTCGGGCAGCCAACAAACATATGAAGAAATGTTCATGATCATTGGCCATTAAAGATATGCAAATCAAAACAACAATGAGACATTATCTCACACCAGCAATAACAGCAAAACTCAAAAAAAGCAGAAGATTATAAATGTTGGCAAGGATGTGGCGAGACTAGGACCCTCCTACATTGCTGGTGAGAATGCAAAATGGTCCAACCACTCTGGAAAACAGTTTGGTGCTTCCTCAGAAAATTGGAAATAGAAATACCATATGATCCAGCAATTTCTTTACTTGATATATATCCACAAGAAATCTAAGCCATAGCATGAGTAGATACATGCACACCAATATTCATAGCACCACTAATCACAATAGAAAAAAGATGGAGACAGCCTAAGTGCCCATCAATGGAAGAATGGATAAACAAACTTTGGTACATACAGACAATGGAATATTATGCTGTCTTGAAGAATAACAAGGAAGCTGCAAGCCACCATGTAACATTATGCTGAGTGAAATTAGTAACAAAAGGACAAATATTGCATAAGACCATTATTGTAAAAGCTTAACAAAAGATACTTTCAATGAAAAGAAAAAAAAAATCTTTTTTGGGGTGGGGAGTGGGGCTGTAGAGGGGGTGGTAGAGCACAGGATGGGGAATAAACACATCATAGTTCAGGTGCTGGGGAGGGCAATACACAAGAAGAGGGAGAGGGATGGAAGAACAATATATATAAGGGAACACTGAGACAGGTTTGCATGGGCTAAATGGAACAGAGATAAATAGTGATGTATACAGGGATTTAGGCATAGTCTAAATGGGTAAGAGGGGAAAGGATTTTAAGATACTTGACTGCCTTATGAATACTGGTTTCCCTCGCAAACTACTATAAAATAGACACCTGTGTGGGATAGATAGGAATATCGGAAAACATGATTAAAGAAAGTTTGTAAGCCTGTCTTCAGCCTATAATTGATTGGAATACCCAAAAGGGGTTCTAGAACTTGCCCAGTGAAATAGGCTTCCTGTAGAGTGTTTGTAGTATATGCAAAGTTGGGTGGAATCCTGAGACCCAAACAGAACCTTCTGAGGTGGGACATTCCCACTTGAAAGGACAAACATACCAGCCTGGAATAGCTAGAGGAACAGAAGATACAGAAGGTAATCTGATTGGCTACTACAGGAACAAGCAAATTGTTTGCTGTGGAGGCATCAAGGCAAGCAATCAAGTCCCATGAGGACAAACCCCCCTCCAAGACTGAAACTCAAAGGGAACACATGAGTAGGCATGTAAGCTTGCTGGTGACCAAATTGGTCTGCTGGTGAGTGGAAGAGGGGAAAGGCAGCAATGAAGATATGGGCTGAGTTCAACCACATTCCATAGACTCTTGTCCACCTGGAGATGAGAGAGAGAGGAGAAAGGGCTGGTAGTTCCAATGAATGATGAGACCTGGGGACTCCTGAGCCCATAGACAGGGACATAGCCACAGAGGACTAGAGCTGAGAGCGAACCACCCAGCTGATATGAAGGGCAGGGAGGTGTAAATAAACCACCCAAACTTGTAGATAGTACCCATTTGACATAGCTTCGATGGCTTGATGATCAGAATTCAACCAGAAATTTTTTTTTTAAAGATCTTTTTGATAAAAGAAACAAGTGTAACTTGCTACAATTTGATGAACTTGACCCATACTTATGGATGTAGTAGCTCAAAATACCAACTGAGAGGGAAGGAATCTCCACATCAAGGATCAATCCTATCCCCTCTCTATACAGGGTTGATAGGGATGGGCAACTTAGACATTGGCTACCTAAAGTGGGAAGGGCTATAAAGGCATGAAATGACTGGCTTACAAATTTTCAAGAGGGAGATTAGTTTTGAGTGTGAAGGGGAAGGTAGAATCCCCACTGAATAGTATTCACTTTGTCTAGATAGGTCTGGTGAAAAGAGATGGGGATAAGGTTCTTATGATTTCAATAGTAAGATATTGTTATCATGATTAATTGCTACTGCCACAAGTTTAAGGTAGAAGTTTTGTAACATAAAGTGGGGAGTAGTTAAACTAACATTCCAGGAACAGAGAACCCTAGGACCATCAAGGGAGAAGAGCACAAGCAGAATGTGCGACCCTATCCAAAGAAGCAGCAACACCAGAGATGGAGGCAGAGATGAAGCTATGGAGAAATAGAACAGCTGAGGACTATAGACTCATGGAAAGAGAAAGGCTGTGTGCTGGTAGCCAGATGCTGGTGGCCAGGAGGCAGGCACACAGAATGTGCCCTTTGATTGTTTAAATGATTATATATTCCTGAGTGTTTTTGTGTACATCCCCTTCCCCCTCCCCACCAAAAAACAACAACAAAGGGAATAGAAGCAAATATTGTTGAATGATCATGCACGGAGGACATTGTAATCATTGCAGTGAAACATTGAGTGTAAAACCAATGTTCTCCCATGTAAATTCTCACTCAATTCACAATAAAAACTTGTAAAAAAATGTGTACAGCTTTGTATGGCTAACAAAGGAGTAGGGTTCTCAGTATAAAAGTAATTGATTCCTAGATATCTTCAAGCAGCTCACAAGATTGGTTTACTGGGATAAAAGACAGGCCCTTTGTTTCTGGAGATAACTTAATCAACTGGTATAACATGGTTGCCAAAGATAGTGTTCTACAACCCTAGTTTTGCGAGTATCGTCTTGGATTTTAAAAGCTTGCAAGTGGTAATTTAAGATAAAGATATTGGTCTTTACTCATAAGGAGCTAAAGAGAATGAGAGAAGTAAAACACTCAAAAAAGAAAGTAGTCCATAGGATTAATAATCCAGACAAACTACAGCCTCTTCTAACCTGAGACTGAAACTAGGTGGTGCCCAGCTACTGCTACTGACCATTCTGTGCAGAAATAAAACACAAGGTCCCAGATAAAATGGGAAGTGGGGTGTAGAACCAACTCAAATTCCTTAAACAAACCAGAATTACTGGACTAATAGAGACTAGAGGAATCCCTGAGTCTACTCCCCTAAAATATCCCTCGAACTTGTAATTGAAGTGATTTCTGGAGGTTGGCCACCTTTTCGACAAAAAGTGGATTGTCTTATAAACATAGCAACATCACCTGTGAGTAATGTGCTCCCTTAAGCAATGAACCAAATGAGATCAAATGGTCACCATTTACTCAAAAGCAAAGTAGCAAAGTCAAGGAGAAGGGAAGTTAGATCAATGGAAACAACAAACAGAATGAGAAAAATAAGAATACTCACACATGGTAACAATTGTAACCAATGGCACACAACAATTGGTTTAAAATTGTTAAAGGGGAACCCAATTTGCTGTGTAAGCTTTCACTTCTAACATAATGGTGGTGATTTTGTGTCGTGGAATCAGTTCCAACTCATAGCGACCCTGTATAGAGTGTCCGAGGCTGTACATCTTTACGGGAGCAGAAAGCCTCATCTTTCTCCCGCAGAACAGCTGGTAGTTTCAAACTGCTGACCTTAAGATTCGCAGCCCGATTCATAACCACTATGCTATCAGAGCTCCTTCTAACATAATAAAATACTAAAAATAATAATTATTTAATACACTGTTGTTGATAACTGCTATCGAGTCGGTTCCGACTCATAGCAACATTGTATAGGCTTTATGAGGAGCAGCTGGTGGGTTTGAAACAACCAGCTTTCAGTTAGCAGTCCAGGGCATATCTTAGAATGCCACAGCAGGACTCAGAATAATGTATATGTTGCTGTTGTTGTTCAGTTCCATTGAGTCAATTTCAACCCATAGAGACCCTGTACAGGGTTTCTGAGGAGCAGCTAGTGGGTTTGAACCTTGTAGTTCACAGTCCAGTGCTTGTCCTACAGTGCCACAGCAGCAGTATGATTAATACACTAGGAACATGGAAACCAAGTACCCAGGTTTATCAGGGTTAGACAGAAACAACACCTTGGAAGCCACAACTTGGGCTTTAGGATGGGACCATGATTTGAGCCTCTTCTCTGCAGTTTCTAAGGAAATTGCTTACTTTCTTTGACCTTCCTTTTCCCCTCTGCAGTACAGCATTATTAATGCTTGCCATAAATGGGTACTTCTGGGATTTGACATATAACATGCAGCATCATCCTTTATTTTGAAAAGTAACAAAGAAACTAGGTAGAGCAAAACAGACAGAACAATGGCTAGAGAAAAGAGGGAGAAGGACAAGTTTGATGACCATGGACAGGACCATGGCTCCTTTGGTGTTTTCGTTGTTGGGACCATGGGTTACTTCATGAAGATATCTGGGACCTTGATCACAGTCTGGAGAGAGGAAATGGAGGAGGTTGAACATCATCATAGGTATGAATGTCGGCCCCAGGCCACCCAGAGTCTGCGCATTTGGCCCACCTCAAGGTGGAGAAATCAAATCAAGGTGGAGAAATAAAAAAACCTGTGAGGCTGTGGTAGCGTCCCAGTTGTTGTCATGATGGCACCTGGGGTGGAATAAGGATGGGCAATACCCACCAGGAGCAAAGAGAAGAAAACTGACCACACAAACATGACCTCACAAACATGCTTCCCCATGTGCTGCGACAAAATCAGCAGAATGAGCTCAGTTTCCCAGTAAGGGCAAAAAATCCAGGAAAGCCCAGTGTCTGCCAATAAAGGGACAGGGTCCATGGAATTCAGAAAGTACAGTACACATGTTGAAAGCTCCTAGGTGGCATAATATGTACTGCACGCGAAAGCTATCTAGTGTGAGGATGAGTGAAACAAAGAGGAAAAGCACTGTGCCAGTGACTTCGCGCTCTTCATTGTCAGCTCCCCCCAGCTCACCTCCATGGCTACCTACTCCCAGCACTCACTTCTAAGAGCACTCTAGCTTCATCAGACTGGCAGGAAATGACTGCACCATGTCCCGCTGCTCTTGGGGAGGTGGAGGGTAAGGAGTAGTAGGAGAGTATGCACACTGTGGGTGAAAGGCACTCTGGGTCTCTGTTGGGCTGGCATCTCTCAGAGACAGTTGGTCATTCACAATGTAGAAGCTGGAGGAAGAATGAATGAGCCCTCAGATAGCTGGACAAATGGAGGAAACCCCCACCCTCAATAACAATCCTGTTTCCATTCAGCAACCACTTTCCCCAAAAAAAAACAGCCCTTGGAGAGATAGAGGCCACCTTCACTAGCTTTGTAGGTTTATCCCCAAACCGTAGACATTTTCACCACCACCTACCTCTACCCTTACAGCAGCCAAAACAGGTAGATAATCTAATCATTCAGAGGAGGACCTTGAGTAACATAGAGGTTACCAAGGTCATATAACTGGTGAATGCTTGGGTCAGGGTGAAAACTGGCTATTCCAATACCAAAACCCATGCTCTTAGCCACTAGACAGGACTTCTTTTGGGAACTACTGTTTTTGCTTTCTTCAATATTGGCGAGATCTGGAGTATAACATCGTCACCTTCCCACACCCCTGGGACCAGGTTGGAATGGGTGATCCTCTAGGATCCAAAATACAGCACTTACTTGGAATTGTTGCCAGAAGTCAAAATGAAGGTCCGGGTGAAGGCATAAACACGAAGCTGACACATTCCTTCCACTTCAAAGACAAACAGCACCAACATACAGAGTTTGCCCATTACACACTCACCTGCTGTGTAACCTCGTGAGTAACTTATTTTCCTATGTCACTTTGAAGGTACCCACCCAGGAAGGACTGGCCCCTGGGAGCCAGGGGGATATGAACAAAGGGGTGGTTATGGTGGTGGTGTGTCATGGGGTTGGTTCTGACTCATAGTGACCCTGTGCAGGGTTTCTGAGGCTGTAAAACTTTATGGGATCAGAAAGCCTCATCTTTCTCTTGCGAAACAGCTGGTAGTTTCAAACTGCTGACCTTGAGGTCAGCAGCCCAATTGGTAACCATTATGCTACCAGAGCTCCTTCAACAAAGGAGAGGAAAAGATAAGTACAACACCTCCCAGTGATAGGATTCTGAATCTGTGTCTGTCCCTATGACAATCTCTTCACGAGTTCATCTCATCATTTTTCACAGCAGCTTAAGAGAAAGAAATTGGCAGCCACGTTTCTGTAAATGAGACAGCTTAGAGGTTTCGCAAGTTTGACAAGGTGGCAGAATGAGGTATGAGGATGAGGCTCCTGAAAGTCTACAGCCTGGGTCCTATCCCCTGGGATGTCCCGGGGCAGACATATATGGATATAATTCAGACCAGGGTGGGTTGGGGTCCGGGTGGGAGCTGGAGAGCACAGAGAGAAGAGGAAGGGATTTGTGGAGAGTTCTGAGAGGGAGCAGTGGGGGACCTAGAGAAGGAACTTTACAGACACTCACCCTCCTTGAACAGCCCGTTGACAGAAAAGCAGAGCATCTTTTCCTGAAATAGTGAGACAGCTCAGGCCCCCAGGATCCCCCTCAACCACCTACCCACCTCCGTTCTCTGAGCCTCCCTCTGGGAGAAGCAGGTGCTCACCGTCTGGACACACACATCCACCAGGAAGGAGTTGAGGTCATGCTGCGTTCTAGGCAGCACACTTAGGAAATCAACAATGTCAGGTTTTGTGTGTTTCAGCAAATGAGCCCTCAGGTCTGAGCAGGCAGGAGAACAGAGGGTCAGGGGCTGCCTTGTTTACCTGGTCCCTAAGATTGACCCCATCACGACTTCTGTGCAAACGACTTACTGGGGCCCTTGCATGTCTTCATATTCCTGCTGTACCTGAAGTACGTGGCCAAGCTGCTCATAGGAGAAAAGGAAGAATAGGAGTTGGGAAACTGGCCAGTGTCTTCTGGGAAGTCACAGTGTCCAGGGCTGCCATCGGACCTGGGATACTCACGAAGCTGGGTCTTGAGGATTAAAGGGAATGAAAAGTGAGAAGCAGGCCTCACTGTGGTAAGCACCCAGGAGGCCCTGCCGATCCCCGTAGTCATAGATCCAGTAGTACCTGTAGGGAATCAAAGAGGGTGACACTGTGGTCTGGGGCCCTAAATGGACTTGAAATCCACCCACTCTCTCCCCAGAGTAGACCTGTGCGTGGCTGGTCTGACCTCTCTTAACATGGCCCCACCACCCGGCCACTACAGTGCCCCAGAATTACTTACTGCTTCAGGAATTTCAAGATAAGATTCTTCATGGTCTCTGATCCAAAAGCATCCCCCTGGAATGACAAGGTCCTCAGGACCATGGCTACTGGACCTCTTAACCCAATACCTCATGCCCTGCTTGATCCCAGCTCCTTGATTCTGCTTGATCCTCACCTTGAAGAATGGTAAATTCTTGTGCTCTTCAGTGTCACAGACAACAGATGGGGGTAACTCCTGACCATCCTAAGGGAAGGAAGAGGAAGTCAGCAGTGCAGACGAGGGGGCAGCACTGGATGGTCAGGGAAAATAAAGCCTGTGGAAAGAGGGTGTGTCAGATGTCATGGTTAAAGGGCTCTGGATATTGCAAGGGAAGGTTATTGTGGGGTCTTCTCCCAGAGGTCCTAGACTGGTGGAGAACTGTCGATAAGGTCTATATATACTTTCATGTTCCCTCATGAAGATTAGGGGCCAGAAAACCAAAAATCTAACCTGGACAAGGTCTAAGAGATTCAGGGCACGTTGTGAGTGGCATTAATATCAATGAAGGAGTCAAGGATAAAACTACAAAATGCACTTACCAAACGTAATAACTTGGGGAACAATTCCAAGAGGGTGCTACAAAATATCAAGACAAAACAGAAAAACAAGTAACATCAGAGCCTCCAGAACCTGGGCAATTCCCATGTGGACTCAAGCAGAGAGAAAGCTAGTGTGCTCCCTCAGCAGTCCCATCTCTTCCTCTCTTTCTTCTCAGGAAGCTGACATGGGACAGCCCTGATACCCATCTCCAGTGACACAGAAACAGCATTTGGAGACCAGTCTGACTCACAGGTGAGAGACAGAGAGGGGAGAGGCCAGGGCATGGGGTCCTTCCAGTGGACCTGGGCTGAAACATCCTATAGAGCGCACCACTGACCTTAGGTTAACTGAGTTATCTTGGAAGGTGTCTGAACACATCTCTTCTGGCTCCAGCCCTTTCGCCTTGTCCAACTCTCCTTCAGACTTCTAATGCAATTATGAACAGGAAACATGAACCAGGGGGAAACCCAGGAGGTCCCTGCTCCCCTAGCCCTACCCTGTCTCACAAATTACCTTACCTGCCTCACACCATCACCATGATGTGCCCGACTCCCTTCCCATCCA